ACGATGAATGGAGGGAGAACTTCCGCATGTCCAAAGCCTCTGTCGTTGCCCTGACTGAAGAACTGCGCCCATATATCGAGAAGAAAACTACAAACATGAGGGCGCCAATTGATCCACTGAAAAGGGTTGCTGCGGTTCTTTATTACCTGAGCGACGAGGGAAGGCTACGGAAGACTGCTAACGCCTTCGGAGTTTCCCGCCCGTCTTTGTCCCTCATTATTAGGGAGACATGCAGAGCGATCACCATCCACCTGGGTCCAAAATACATCAAGCTGCCTTTTACTGAGCCCGAGACCGCGGATCTGGTTGAGGGGTTCCATTGTACACATGGCATGCCACAATGTTTAGGAGCAGTGGACGGAACCCACATCGAAATCAAGCAGCCATCTAACGACTCCACTAGTTACATCAACAGGAAAGGAAAATATTCCTTTAATGTACAGGCTGTCTGTGATTACAGGTACCGATTCATGGATGTCGTGGTAAAGTGGCCTGGGAGTGTGCATGATGCACGGGTCTTTGCTAATTCCAAGCTAAACATGTACTTAAAAACTGGAAAGATCCCTGCTCTGAAAAAACAGATTGTGGACGAAGAGGAGGCCATACCATGTATGTACATAGACTGTACATTTTTTTTAAAGGTGTTTATTAAGATGTGATAAACATTCTTTGTTACATTCCCTGTCCTCACTGTGCAGCTCCTTCAGCGACAGGCTGCTGTACAATATTCATATACCTGGCTAGGTATATGTACCTGGCTGCTAAATCTGAGGACTGTTACAGGATTTTTTGTATTATATCCTAACTGTTTTTAGTACTTTTTAATGCATGTCACATGTGTGAAACTAAGCAAATAACTATGTGATTCTCCAATGTCAAAAGTGTGAAACTAAAAATAAAATTGGCTGCAACCACTTCCAGACTTTCTTTGAACTTAATGTGCAACAAATGTCATCATCCTCATGAATGAAGTTATATGGCCCATTCTACCGAGTCAGGTTGTCCATATATATTTTGTACCGTATTTATTTACACATATAGTAAAAGAACCGTACATTTTGATATGGTATTTTCAGACTGTATTGGCCACTAGCGAAACATAGTACATACACTGTAGTAAAAAACTATTATATTAACCTGTTAAGATTGTGTTACCTTCCCTTCTCTAAATAGTATTTTAACCAATATTTGAGGATTTTCAGTAAAAGTAATATAAGCAAATGTTGAATCAAAGTTGAATTTATACAATTCATAAAAATCATAATGCAAACTTTCTTTGTGAAATGCATAATACTGATCATATTGATTCCAGAGATGAAATAGAAGGGAATGAGGCTATAATGGGTAATTTTTTTGGTATTTTGAGCAAAACACTTCATAGACATGTTTTTTATATATCTGAGACTATAATATATGCCTAACAATAGTTTGGGCTTTACCATTAAGGCCCAATGTGACATATCACAGTTCAGATATTTGACACTAGGGGGGGGTTACTTTTCATAAATGTGGTGTATTTAGTCAAAATTAGGTTTACAAGGTGAAAAGGACTTACAGCCTCCCACACACTGATATAGATATCTCACTGACTGTAATGAGGGAGAAGGAAAGAGAGTGAGGAGAGTGCTTGCGGAGTACATTGACCCTTACATGAAAGACAAGACTGTTCTTTTATTTTAATAAGGTTTTTTATTAATAACATTATTTATAAATGTGTACACAGTAAAAGGGAAAAAAATACCTTTGCTAGCTAAAAAAAAAAGGCTTAAAAAAAAAGTGATTCTCCATTTGTACAAAGTCTGGTGGAGTTAAAAATAAAAATGTTTACAGACTTCCTTTGACCAAAAAGTGCTGTGAAAAAAAAAGAAGCTCACTGCTTTACTGCTCCTCCTCATCCAGTGACCGCCTGAATGAATATGGAGGAGATTGTTGCTGTGGGGTGTGTGGTACAGAGGGGTTTAATCTTGGTGTGGCCGTGTGTGGCCTTCGGGGTGGGTATGAGGGCACCTGGAAGTGTCCATATCCACTGTTGTTAGTATGAACTTGCATGAACTGGCTCATCAGGGAAAGGCCATTCTGTACAGTCACATTAATGTTGTCCATGGTGTTGTTCATACGATCCATGCTGGCTGCGCTGCGGCTGGTTGCTTCCTCCATTAAGTCCAACATCCGGCTTTTTAATCGCAGCTCTTCCTGCACCGCATGTTCAGCTGGAAGCTTCCTCTTCATGCGGTCACTTCTGTGGCCGTCCAGCCGTGCCTATAATAAACCAGAGAAAGTTTGAATTAATACACAATAGGACCATAGCCACCAGATAACAGAACACAAAAGGCATGTTGTGAAATAGCTCTCAATACATTTTACAAATAAAACAGCTCTAAATACTTTCTAATTTTACCAAGCTTAAACCGGTTCAGTTTTTCAGTGGAAGGTACTGCATCATAGTATATAGCAAGCCCTTTAAGATTGAAATCATGAACATACCTGGAGCAGATCCCTGCGATGACTCACAACCGCAGCAGTTGGCAGAGTTCCGTTGGATCTACTCGACTCTGGCAAATCCGTGGAATGCTCCAAACTCGGGGATGAACTTGGTCCGGGCGACGACTCTTCCATGTCGAACAAGTCCCCTTGTACCTGTTTTAGTTTCGCTGTAAGCTGGCCCTGTGAAATTGTGTTCTTCTCGTGAGGGAAATCTTTTTCAGTCGGGGTCCTCGGATATTGCGCCTGAAATAAGTCGGCTATCTCCGTATATTTAGGCTTGCAGGACTCCCAGTCTACATTATCCTGTATTTTTGTCGTCTTATACTCAAGTGTTACACTTAAAAGAAGTTCCACCTCGTCGTCGGACCACGAAAATAGCTCCTTTCTTGCGCGAATAACAGCCATCTTCGTTTGTTTGTTTTGTTTGTGCCTCACACACATCCGGGGGGGATCTTATACTCGCTGCTTTTGGTGTATTTTGTGGCGGAAGTTACAGCGCCACTTACAGTCCCGCCATATGTACTACAGCTTTCGAGCGGTCTCGTGTGGAAGTACAGCGCCACTTACAGTCCCAGCATATGTACTACAGAGTTTCCAGCGGCCTCGTTTGAACAGACACGTTAAATGAAACAAATGCATGTGAACGGAAGACTTTTTTGAATACGAATACTGTGCATAAAACGCAAACGGCCTCGTGTGAGCGGGGCCTGAATGTCAGTTTAGTGAGTGTTTATTCATTATCTGTGATGAGTGACACACTTTCTTATCACCTCCTTTAAACATCCTTATTGTCGCTTCAAATACAAGTCAGATTCAGGAGACACACAGACACAATCCTTTTTTTAGTTTTAAGTCGTCCATGAAAACACAACATGAACGGAGCATTTCTGACAAAGTTGGAAATGTTTTGGTTATTTTCAATGGGATATTTGTGGTTCACACTGGTTTCAAATGCACTTAGTTGAGAAAAAAAGCAACAAATGTACATTCCATCAACATCATTTGAGTCAAATCAACAACATTGTTAATTAAATGTGATCACATCAGAGTATTTGACCAGTAAAATCTTTATAAATAACACTTAAGGGCGTTGTTTCAAACTAGCGATAACCACCTAATAGTATCAGAAATGCAAAAATAATTTGAAGTATGTTTTCAGGGGCTTCGAGAAAACTTCAATTAGTACAACACAACTGAAGCCTAAAATAAAAAAAGTCCTATTTTTTAGGGTGACACATTAAGTTTTGGTCTATATTTGGGTAATTACAATCACCACTTTAGTAAAGGTCTCTACTTCTGGTCTTTTTGCTTTCCACTCTCTAGTCCAGGGGTGCCCAATACGTCGATCGCGATCGACCGGTTGATCGCAAGGGTAGTGTGGGTAGATCGCAAAAAAAAAAAAAAAAAAAAAAAAAAAAAAACATTCTTTAAAAAAAAAAAGTTAGCCTATCATCCATCCTTACTATGGCATTTGCCACTTGATTGACGTACAGGTAAGCCAGTCTGAGTTGTATTGTGCCATACGGGTTCATGCAGATGAGGGGGCCTCAACTCCTCATCTGAAGCGCAAATGCGGGGCGCCTATACGGCGCAATTAGTGACGACACAGATTGGGCAGGGGCGGACCTGTGGACCTGTAGGTAAATCATTTGGGCTTGGTCATTTTAAAAGTAGCTCCCAAGCTGAAAAAGTGTGGGCACCCCTGCTTCTAGTCCCACAGATATTTAAGGGCCAGTTCATTTAACACATTTTCCCACTAAGGTGTCATCTAGCAATGCAAATAGTTTCATTTAGGAAACATCTGCCACCCCGATATGGTGGAGATAGATTTAGTTTGTGCTCATAAAAGCACTCGAACATGACATTTGGAAACTCAGCAGAGCGATTCCACAAAAGGCCCTCTGTACAATCTACATAATGTTTTTTCTATTAAGACTTAAGATAAAATGTATTAAACTGTCTACAAAAAGGTTGAAAGAATTCGGAAATGATTTTGTGTAATTTGGTTGAGCTCGTAGCTGTTTTGTTACAGCTTTAAATAAATGGGGACACTTGTGGTATGTAAGACGGAGTCAGAGAGACAACGCTTCCTTTCTCTTTCTGCCACATTCCTCTCATTCTGCTGGCCCAAACTACAGCTGGCTCTGTGTCCCTCTCACTGTCTTCTGGGAATGTTCACCCTTTATTTTTGAAGTCAGGAAATCCTTACGAGGACACAGCGGTCACTCACAGAGGCCACTTGAGGATCTCACAGAAAAAACAGGATTTTTTTTAGGGTTTGAAATGTGCAATTTGTATCCTTGTGTGAAGTGTAATAAAAACACACTAATGCTCGGATAATAGTGTTGATATAATACAGAATGTCTCTAAGACAGCTTCTGCAACAGCCACACATTGATTCAGTAGAAGCAGATAACGCAGCAGCAGGTTATTTAGTGTTCATATCAGCTCACCTTTAAGCAGCTGAACACCTGACTCAGTCTCTGGTGAGTCAGAAAAGTCCGAAAAACAAGCCAGTGAATCGCTATTAAATATTTGAAACGCTCTGACTTTGGTTTACATTTTTCCATAACATTAAGGAGAAGATTATATATTCCTCATGAATTATTGCTTCCTTTCAACTCAAAACAATCTGACAAAACAAGATCGAGCCGCTAATTCTTTTGTCTTTGGTCTGTCACTCTGTGATTAAGCACACCTTTCATCTCTCTCTGTTGACAGCTCATTATCTTCTCGGGCTCTTTAGCTGGAAAACAACTTCTCAGCAGCACATCCTTTCATCCAGACTCTGTCAGGTTTCGGGGTGTAATAAGATTCTACTTTCAGTTCATAAAATAAAAAAATGTCAGCAGTAATGAAGCCTGAAAGTCATTCTCATTTTGGACCAGAGATGCGCTCATTTAAATTCTCTCAATCTGGTCCCACAAATTGCTCAATTTTGTTTCTACCAATATTTGCTCAGGACATATTAGTTCATATTGACTGGGGTCCAGGGCAAAGCTGCCTCATTTGTTATTGCAATATGCCAGCACCACATAATACCAACAGTCTTTTAAATGTAGTATTGGTTTCCTCCGTTCTGAAACTCAGTTTGCTGCTGCCAGGAAACACTGTTTAATCCAGATCCAGCAAAGAGCAATACATGTCCTTTCAAAAATCCTAACTCTTACAAATCTAGCATGGTTTTGGCACTGTTTCTTATTTTACCTGCTTGTTTTTCTTTTTAAAATTACTATCCCAGATTTCTTAAATATAAATAAATCAAAACAGAGGTGACCTATTGATTGGGATGCAGGTCAATAATCTTACTTTAAAAAATAAAAAGAGGTCATTTTCAGGATCACAATCTGTGCCAGAGGCCAGTGTAGGAGGGGAATTATGTATACCTCCTTCTGGACCAATAGGGGGATACATTACTTAATATGAATGAAGCTACAGTACGGGTCAAAAGTCTTCCAGTCCTGACACAATCTGAGAAACTGCTGCAAGACATTTTGTACCGAATGAACTGAAAGTGAAGCCCCCCCCCCCCCAAACCTCTCCATCTTTAACACGTCCGCACTCCATCTTGTTTCCCTCTTTGTGTATTCAGTTTTCATGCTGGAAATGACACTGACGAAAAATCTGCTATAACTTATATTTATATTGAAGGTAAAAGATATTGCTTTATATATATTGTAATTGGTTTCATAGTAGAAGCTTATGTAGGATATGGACTTACAGTGTGACCATTATGAAGCAAATATCCCTTTTAAAATGAATGGCATGATACTATATTAACTTAATACATTCTTTAAAAGTAATAATCTTTGTCAGAATTGAGTAGTTTTTACTTATTCCGCCCATTAAAAGGGATATTTCATTTCTTCAATTAAATTCATTATCTGATATTTCTTCATAACTAAAGCAGAGGTTACATGATATAAAACTTTGGAAGTGTTAAAACACTAAATGAAAAAAGGAATCCTTAATATATGTGTGTTTTATAGTTTGAAATGTTAAATGATGTAATCCCTCTGCATGAAGCTTGCAGTGTCTTGGTAAAAAGTTCCTAAAGATCCGGGCCATGTCCTGATTCCTGGAAGTGTTCCCTTTCCCTAAAGCAAACCCTGGAGCAGGAAGTATTTCAAAGTGGCAGTGAATGTTTGATCAGTACTCCATCAGTCCGTTTGAATTACCTCTTTAGTTGGAATGAAGAGCAGAAACTTTTTGAGACGTACTGATCTGGAATCTGGCTTGTTACTCAAACGACAGCAGGTCTGGGTGGGGCTCCAGGTCTTCAGCCCCTTTACTGCAGGGGGCGCCGTTCCCCAGCAGGATGTCTTCGCCCAGGCTGATGCGGCAGGAGGTCTTCCCCGTAGGGGTGGAGGCCAGACGGGACTCGGGCCCCGACGCTTTCTGCCAGACGTCGCAGGGCTTGGCTCTGGGCTCCACCATCGGGGGGTCTTTGTTGATGAGGTCCGGCACAGAGAGCTGGGGCTGATGTTCCTCCTCGCCTCCGTCACTGCTCCCGTTCTCCACCTCGTTTTCTCCTCCACCTGTGACTCCATGGACTTTTCCGTTGCTCCCCGTCTTCTCCCAGCGATCAGCATTCTTCTCTGCGGGGCCCAGGGGGGTCTCCTCTGACCCCTCGTCCTCCTTTTGCTCCTCACTGCTCCTCGGCTCCTCTGGGCCGATGAGGGGCGACTTCTCGGGAGAGGAGAGGAAGGAGGAAGAGTCAGCGGGGTCCGGGGAGGAGACCACGGGGTCAGAGGAGATCATCATGTCCTGGGTCTTCAGAGCCCGGGGCAGACGCTTCTTCCCCGTCGGGGGTGGTGGGTCCAGCCGGGGGAAGGAGTCGAAGGAAGAGATGTGACTGGGGGAGAGAATTGATACAGAGATATTAACAGACAGTAAAAAACATTATTGAGCATCAAAGTGATCCAGAGAAGCAAGGGGCCAGTTGAATAAAGCCTAAGTGGGATTTGACTCAGATGACCTGGGCTCGAGACAGACAAAGTCACACATTTGAAGACTTTAGACTTGGTTTGAGAAAAATCATAAAAGACCATGCAACTGAACTTGGACTTCTAATGGCTCGACTACACTTGGCCTTTTTGAAAAATATTTGATTACTTCCACCAAGATAATTTCTACCAAGATAACTTCTACCAAGCCCAAATATGAAAAATCTAACTTAACTTAAGGCTTGGGATCTGACTTTGAAAATGTTTTGCTAGTCATGTTGATTATTTTCTTAATTTCATTCAGAATGTGTGTCTGGTCTGCAGTGTAGTCGTATTTTTGAGCATGTAATTAACATCCTCAAGAAGAAATGATGGGATGAATGAGGTCATGCTGTAAAGATGCTCTTACATGTTCTGGGCTTGAAAACGCCACATATTTATTTCCACGCATTCTGGTTTTAAATCTGTTTTTAAATCCTTTTAAAACAGATTTACCCACCCAGTAAAAATTCAATGTATTTAAAGAGCTGCTCAAAAATCACTTCTACTCGAATTATTTTTATTAGGAGAGACAAAAGAAAAATACTTCTGGAACAAATCCTTAAATATGATATGCAAAACAACCTGGATGAGTGTGTGCATGTGAGCAGGGAATGCATACACAGTTAAAGGCATTACCATTTTGACCGAGTAAGAAGCTGAATACTTCAGAGTTATTGAACTTCAGACGTCTCACAGGTGCCTTTGTTGTCATTATTCATTCTATAACCCCATTTCAGTGGAAACATAATAAATCCTTTGCCTTTCCTGCCTTATTTACAGTTATAGACTCTTCTGTCAGTAAAGGGTCATTTCATATTTTAACAGAAAATATGTCTTTCAGTGGTTTAATCAAAATAATTGAATGCATAGCCTTGGAAGCTTTTGTGACTTTTTTTACAAATGTATCCACAAAAAGAAATACATACAGTACAATAGGAGCAAAAAATGACCTTTTATAAGGTCTAATAGAAAATAAAACTGTCTTAACGAGTCTGTAAACTACTTTGTGATTGTCTTCAAGATTAAAGTTTAAATTAAGTTTGAGAAGTTTAATCTGACCAACAATAAGTACTTTCCTCCACACCAATATAAAGGAGAAATATGTGTGTGTGTTTACCTGTTTGCAGTGGTCTGATTGAGTTGCTCCATACAGCTCCACACCACATCAACGTTCTTGTTGACCTCTGTGACCCCAATGTCCCCTAGGTGGCTGGACTCCTTTCTTCTTAACAAGTCATTGACCTGAGAGAAAGAAAGAAAAGGAAGGGCCAAAGATTGACAAACAGACAGAAAAAAGACAGAGAGGAAGAAGAAAGAAAGTCAGAAAAGACAAAAAGTACTCAAATGAACTCCACTGGTACAGCAATAAAGACATTACATGTACTCTATGACCCAAATATCAAGCGTTTAAAGAATACATGAGGTGTAAAGAAGTGAATCCTTGGGCTGAGCTCACCTTTGCCCCGACAGCCTTGCCCAGGTTAATGGCATTCTTAAGCCTCTGCTGTCCTCCGGAGGAAGGAGAGTCGACAGAGCTGGACCCCAGGTTGTGGCTAGCTGATGCTGGGGGGCGGCGGGCCGAGGGGGGGCCGGGCCTGGACGTCTGAGGACTCTGCTGCTGGGCAACGGAGTTCTCAAACATACTTTGGTCAACTGGAAGGAGAGAAGGAAGACGGATAGATTAATTCCCAGCAGGAGTTAAGAGATGATGTGTATCTGCATTAACAGCACATGCTGCAGACCCTCGAGCACTTGACAATACAAATGGGATGTTTGCTTTGAAATTGAGATAACAAACTCAGTTCTTGAAGGGCAGTGAGAGAAACACTCCACTGAAAATGCAGATGATTGGTCACTTTTCATAATGTTAAAAGTCACCCCTTGAAACTAGAGGGGCGCAAGTACTTGATGTGCAAGTGGTACAATTTTGGTGGAGTATTCCAGGGACCACCTCATGTTACTCTGTTGTCACTGTGCAGCTTTGCACCAAATAAACTGACGTTGCATCATCACAGCAGTTTCAAGGACATTTCGTGAGAAGACATGAAACATAGGAGGGCCACACAGTAACAAGGTATGTAATGATCAAAGACAAATATTTAAAAATAAATAAAGAAAACTGCAATGACATGCACAAAAAAATACAACAAATGAAAAGGAAGTGGACCAAAATGCAGGATCAGGAACATAAAAGGTGAACTCAGGTGGTTTTCATTCCACTTCAGACAGATGATCTTACCTCATGGAGAGAAACGTTTCTCGGAAAGCATTTAATGAAACATAGAATTATCAGATTTGAGAACAATCTACTCTTAAAGATGCATATTATTGAGCTTTTACTGCTTAACATGCTGCTGATTCATGTCTTCTACAAGAGGACAAGTCAGGAGAGCTAATAGGTAGGAGTGCAGCCTTGGCTTGCTTACACCTATCTGAAAGGGACATTGTCTTGGACAGATAAATGGAGAGAAAATATCCCCATTTGGAATCAGATAGAGCGTCAAACTCGGGCGGAACAGCTAACCTTGACTTCACTTTGCACACTCAAGCATTTTACTACACTTACTGTACCAATCAAGAGATCTACCAAAGCACATTAGCCAGGGGCCAGAGAAAATGTGAACTGATATTATGAATCAGCGCGATACAGAGGGCATTCAGGGTAACATCAAAGACACACAGAGAGAGAAGAAGAAGAACAGATAGCAAAATCAACATTTCCTTCACAGCATGCATGCAGTTATAAGAGTCATCAAAGCAATTGGAACAGCAAAGAGCTGCAAGGTGTAACATAGTGGATCTTGCAATTCATTTCATTATACTGTATAGTAGATTGTGTTCTGATATCTGTTTGCATTTGTGATTGTGTCTTATAATGCCCTCCCACTACCTCAATGCAGCAGCTTATTTTTAGCAGTACTTACCATCCCCTAGGTTGAAATATTTGCCTGCCTTATATCTCCTATTTTCCGTCTATTACTATTAAATATGGGGCTATATGTGCACTTTGTTGTGATCTAGATGGGCATTAGCAATTGATGGATGAATGTTTTTCTTTATTGTTGTTTTGCTGTGATTTAAAATGGCAGACACTGTGATGTTCAAGGCAAATTTCCCACTGGGATAATAAAGTCTATCTTACACTGATGTATGCATGAACATGACCTTAGTGCAATTTGAATACTGGGAAGTAGAACTGCATTTTACAAATGCCAACTGCATTATTGTGGAGGTAAGAATAATACATCCATTAGTTGGACGTCAAAATACTGCATAAAAGGTTACAAATATAATAGGGTAGCTATAGGAGTGGAAAATGGAAATTAATATGAAATCCTCTTTAATCATCAAAGCATGGGAATATACACAGCACCGACCAACAGAAAAGTTTAGATTTTGCGATCTGGCACCTTGCTCAAGGGCACCTCGGCAAAGAGAGGAAATGGCACCTTTCAAATACACTGAACAACTAGCAAACGTAGGTTGGCATATTAGCTGGCAAGCTAACTGTGTTGATTAGATAGATACACACTCCTACCACAACTACTACTAACGAATCTAAAACAACTAAGTTTCTCTAATATTTTGTGATTTGCATTTGATTTCGTCCAGCCAGATGTGTCCGCGTATCTGGCGGACAACACACACGGGATGACCCACTCTGATGCCTCGTCCTAAAAAGCCCCGGCAGCCGCTTACAAAGCTGCGACAGGCAAGATGCCGAAAACGCCTATAAGGGGAGGAATGGATGATATACAGTGTTTATATGTATATTTACGCATGTTCATTTTGTACATTTCTAAAAATAAAGTTTGATGGAAATACTTAGTAGGCCTATCCTTTCTTCCCTGAATTATTTGCTCCTATAACATATCATTCATATGTGATTCTATAATTTAGGGTGCATTTCACATCAACAAAACAGTACAAAGAAAGTGTTCTTTCTCAATAGAACAATCAGTGGTTCAAGTTAGTATATTCCTCAGTGTAACATATCCACTGGTTGCAAAGCTTAAACATTTTTTTATTTTATTTTATATAAATGTAATAACTGTTACTACAGTTATTACAGTACTGGGTAACTTAGTTGACAGGTAACCTAGTTGACAATTTCCCTATTTTGACCCATCATTTCAATGGTAGGCCTTGCTTGGATGACCACATGTCATTTTCTTGAACAGGTTAACATCACATTTGAACATATAATTGAATTAAAATCATTAAACAATTGTAAACCATAACAATGTACGTAACATTGTTGATGGTCAATGAATATACTCATTGACAATGTGCTATTATACATAAAATATTGTAAAAAATTAGAGGACAATCACCACAGTGTGTTCAAAATGTCTGCCAAAGAGGAACATGGCATCATGTGATGCTGGTGACATGGTATTGGGACAAACCATTTTTGAGTTAAATGGGGAAGTTCTGTTAGTAACATAGTTGACAGAACTTTTGCGGACATTCATATATTAAGATATTTAAATTATTTAAAGGAGGAAATCAATTAAAAATATGTTATTATTCTTTAGTATTTAGACTTTTGAAATAAATGAATACTTTTTTTAATTTACTTTAATGGTTTTTATTCATTATTTTGAAACCAAGACACCCTCAACTGAAAAACGGACAGAGCAAAAACTGACAATTTAAGAACATCATGACACATTTCAAGGTAAATAAAGCATAGGATGCACATAATGTTTGTGTGATATTATAACATGCTTTCCAATAATAGGCAAAATATGATATTTTTGAAGAAAATAGTTGGAATAATTATAATTATCATCAATGGACATCAATGGACATGGAATGTACCCTAAATTGTAGAATCACTCATTATAGCAAACCATGATTTGATTTCTCATCAAACAGTAGTAGTTTATTACAGGTAAAAATAACTTGCTCTTCTATAACAACAGTTGTAGGTACAGTTCGGTTAGTTAGTGTATAAAATATACGGCTGTACCGAGGCCATTATAAGACTGTTGTTCCGCTGAGAGCGAGCCGAAAAAAGCACTGTTAGACATGGGCGGAGCCTCTCTGGTGGTTGACTAATCAGAACAGAGTGGCCGAGCTGACCAATCGGAGCACACTAGGCTCACAGGGAGGGGGGGGCAAGAGCTCCAACGAGCCGTTTAGTGGAGAGAGTGAATACTGCTGAATACACATACTTTACAGAGATGCTGTATGCGAAACCAATGTGAGTTTGGAAAATTGCACAGTATAAATCTATTTTAGTATACCTCAACAATGGAATTATGATCAGTGGAAATGGCCATGACACCTCTCCTTTAAGTGCTTTGACAAAAAATACATTTCATCTGTGGAAGTAATACTGTAAAAAGCACGACCAATCATTTTAGCCGGCCCGGCTAAAATAACTGGATGGCCTACCTGCCTGTCAACCTTCCATCTGTGCACAAACTTATCTTGTGCCCTCATTGGTCATGTGCGCGTTCGTGTGTGTTGGAGGAGGGGCTCTATAAGGAAGTGGCAGATTTTCTCCGGTTGTGGCTGCGTTTCACTTCTTTTATTTTTCATTTCCTCGCTCCTCGGTCTCGGTATCACCGGAAGTTGATTTGTCTGCGCCATCTTGAGTAGCGTCCCACTCATGGATGTATAATAAGAACTGGATACAGCGTGGGAGGCGGGGCCTCATTCATTGCTATGAGAGTTGCTCATTCGCGCATGATGATAAAATGGCCCAACTTTTGAGAGAGCGAAACGTCACAGATTACCCGGCATGCCTGAGAAGTACCCGTATGTGCGCTCATAGCGCATGCGCAACTTTAACCATGCCCCCCAAAATGCTCGTTCACATCAAGCACGTCAATTTGCGTACACGTACAGTAACAGCACCGCACGTTCATGACAGCATGGTAATGTTTGTTATGATAGATTTGATATTAACGAGGCGGCAGTTAGCAGCTAGCGGTTAGCTAGTAATTATGCTAATTTACACATCAATCGTTATGTACTTTTATATTACGCTGTAACAGGATCTAGTGATATCCAAGCAACAGAGCTTCATTTAGCATGAAATAATTATTGCACTGTGTACACATATATATATATATATATATATATATATATATATATATATATATATATACAGTGCAATAAGCTTCTTAGTGCAATAAGAAGCTACAGGGACGTTAATCTACGTCGGTAATATTAACTTTATTTAATACAACATTTACGGTACAAGATTTAATCATACAGCCCATGTAGTATAATATTTTACAAATGATGAATTACAGCAAACATGTGCAATATATCCATTAGTACAGCTCCGTGGGCTGGCAGTAAGGCGATATGGGTCCGTTCTTATTGTGCATCCATGGGTAAAGATAAACGCATGTAGTGCTGAACACGTAACATGAACGTGCCGGGTGGCGCGGTCCCGTGGGTTAGATGCGCGTTCATAATGCAGAGGGAAATAACTCACAGAATAACGTTATTAGCACATTTTTACAACTTGAGGAACGAATGTTTTTAATAAGGGCTATACAAGTGTTCATACTGGGTAGTTTATTTAGTTTAAAAAAAATTATCCAACGATTTACAGACCACTCTTTCCCCATGTAAGTCAATGGGAAAAAGTGTTTCCGGGCCTGGCAACCAAAAGGAAGTGTAGTACCGCTGTTTGGCCAGCACGAATATTTTCATCTGAGTCCCGCGCACTTCCTGGGGGTTTGGTCCCACTGGCCTTATTTTTGACGGAGGACCGAGGATCGAGGAGCGAGGAGCGATAATGGAGGAGCTATAATCGAGGAACCACC